ATTACATAAAAGCTTGTTATTAAAACGTTTTTTATGAATTTTTTTTTCTTTTCTCTTTTCTTTTTTTTTTTTGGCCCAATTTTCCTTTTGTTTTTTTTGGCCTTTTTTTTTTTTTCTTTTTTTTTGCCTCAGACACGTAAATTATAGCGTACTTGTGTGTTCGTTTTAGTAGTACAGTTTTCATCATCGGCTTGTGAGGACTGATACAGATTTACAATAGTAATATTTCTTTCTTACTTGTAGCCTGCTTTCATTCATTTAAGATGGTTTACTTATACATAGGTCTAATACAAAACGTCTAAATATAAAGAAAAAATAAAAATTAAAAACCAACCTGAAACTGAAAATGCAAATGTGTAATTAAATGATGATTCAAGGGATTTTTTTTTCTCGTCGTGGTGGGCTGAGGGGAAGAGGGGGGGGGGGGGGGAGAGGGGGAATTTTTTTTTTAAAAGTAGAGCTGAAATGAACTTGGGATTACTGAGAATTAAAATGATACAAATTTTAAGCAATCGGAAAAGCAATGTTATTACAATGAGACACGTAAAAGCAAACACTCTTCCCTTTCAAACATCTATATCTATACAATCCTCAATAAGTTTTTTTTTTCCTTTTTATTTTTTTTTTTAATTTTTTTTTTTAATTCAATTGTTTTAAACATTTAAATCAGTAATAATTATTTATTTGATAGATTTTACACAGCATCAAAGACATGAACATCAATTTTTGGCCCAAAGGTAATAATGTTCTCCCAAATTCGCAAGAATCAAACACTACATCGTGAATTTTCAGAAGCTTATAAAATAAAAGAATAAATGTTAGCGTTAAGTTAGTTAGCTTATTTTTCTCAAAAACATTTATGGTCAATTTTTATTTAATACGAAAAAAATGGATCAAAATTTTAGTAGACCTTGTATGGCTTTATTATATTAATTATAGTGCTTTCTTGTTTATTATAATATATAAGCAAACAAAAGGTATATATTGATAATTATCAAAAAGGTAATTATCTGGAGAATAGCAAAACTTGTATTAAATAAATTACACTGACCTCCCTTTATACCCTATTCACAGTCATAAATCGCCTTCGTTTTTTTTTACTTTCTCGTATATACGAAGTATAGAGAAAGTATTGTAATCGTGCACAAAAATAACATGCAATTTTGACAGTTTTCACCGTATTACTCCTCAGTCCTTCATCACATCCGGAGTATAGAGGACTTATTTTAATCAGGCAAAAATTATAAATACAAATATTTTTCTATGCGTTTTATGCGTTATCGAGTCGTAAAAACTGGACTTTGCAATTCTGTCCGTATGTCTGTGTGTCTGTGTGTAAACACGATAACTTGAGTACCCTTACAGCTAGTTTGATGAAATTTCAAATATAAGTAGTTTATCGAAATCGTAGATCCTGATCAACTTTTGAGCGATTTCCGATACTTTTTCTACTTTGAATTTTTAAAAAGCCTATAACTTGAGTACTATTTCAGATAGATAAATGAAATTTCAAATGTAAGTAAAAAGTCTAATTCTCTACCCTCTGTCATATTTTGAGTATTTTCCGTTGACCGGAAGTAATAATTTACGCTATTTCCGATTTCTCAAAAAACGCACGTAAATTTTTAAAGTACTAATATTATCTCGCGCTCAGAGGCGTAGCAAGGGGGGGGGGGACATATGCCCCGGTGCGTTGACCTTAGGGGGGGGGAGGGCGACAAATTGAAAGTTTGAGGGGGGGGGGGTGCGAATGAAAAGTTCGAGGGTGAGTGCAAATCGATGTATTGAGGGGGGGGGGGGTGCAAATGAAAAGTTCGAGGGGGGGAGGGTGCAAATTGAGGGTGCATATGTCCCTTGGCGCCGATCTTAAGGGGTGCAAAAGTGGGTTGGAAAAACAGTTTGAGGGGGGGGGGGGGTGCAAATCGAAAGTCTGTCCCCGGGCGCCGGGAAGGGTCGCTACGCCTCTGCCCGCACTATTATGCACATTTTATTAGGCGTTCACTTGGTGTGCAATTCTTTTTTTTTACGAGATTCTATTCTATTATAAAAAGTTTGAGTAATTAAAAATGGATTACAAATATTGTCTATGTCTTGAGTTGCCATCCCTCGTAGTTTTATATTAGAATATTCGAGAAAGTTTAGGGGAGATCACTCCCGGTTTATTTGTACAATAAGACAACATAATTTTCATATGTAGAAAGAAACAATTAATTACACAATAAACATAATACATGCATTTACATCGATTGTTAAGTATATAAAGAGAATATAAAATACGTTGTAATACAATCCTTTATTATTTTTAATGACATGTAACAACCAAACACAGTCTAAAAAAAAAAACTGAAGTCCGTTCTGTGTATCTAAAATGTTCTGTTTTTATTTATTGTTCACTAATTACGTGTAGAGATCGATGGTTTTAGTATCTCAGTTTTAAATTAAAAATAGTTTCAACCTGTTATGTATAATATAGGTCTACTTTGTTGATAAACACATTTCTATCCAATTCACAAATTTTGATGTGGCCATTGTAGGCTTCAACATACACAGTGTACTGTGGATATTTTGTATGTAAACATGTTCCGGCATAAGCCTATTGAAATATGTGGTTTATATCATTGTTAACAAGACTTGTACTCTCATATATATATATATATATATATATATATATAAGCGACAGAGGCGTATCCAGGTTTTCGTTGTAGGTGGAGTGAAAAGAGCAAACAAAAGGCGCCGAATTTTTAACACGTTCTATATACGTGTATTATATATATATATATATATATATATATATATATATATATATATATATATATATATATATATATATATATATATATATATATATATATATATATATATATATATATATATATATAATTACTAGCTGTATGTCATTACTTCGCTATGATGTAAAATAAATTGAAAGTAGCACTCTGAAGAAATAAGAAAAAACACACAATGTAGGCCGACAAAACAAAAATTGTATCAATCTAAACAAAAAAATGTACACACACTACAACTAAAAACAATGAACGTAACACAATCTGTTTTGTAATTCTTGTAAAAAAAATTTCTTACATAATAATTCCTGGGAAATTATTTAAGACAAGCGAAATAGGGGAAATAATCACTCTCTTAAAATAAAAATATGTATATATTCGATATAATCGAAAAACATTCAGAATAACAGCCTACAATTAACTAAATATCGGTCTTTTAGATCAGATCATATATTTTTAATTAACTACTGCTTCTTTGTGCTCTTTAAAGATCATTTTTTTAAATAGTGATAGGTATGGGTTAGATCAATGTATTGATCACACACCTTTTTACTGGGAATTGCAAAAACAATATTCACAGAGTTTTACGTTTAAAAAGCTAATTTTCTGGCGGCATGGTACTTTGGTACATTATTGAAAACTCACTTCTAGCATATAGTTGTTTAAATACACCATGTTCCGTTCTAGCTTGTAGAAAGCGCCCTCGACACTCATGACAATTGCAATGACGCTTCGGGGATCACCGCGACTTCTGTCAACATTTGGAATACGGATGTGACCAGTATCTCCCACTTCAGCATGTTTATATATATATATATATATATATATATATATATATATATATATATATATATATATATATATATATATATATATATATATATATATATATATATATATATATATATATATATATATATATATATATATAGTGACGACAGCCTAGCATTTGATATGTGTAACCTGTGTAGGGATGGTGGCATAGATGAGATGTGTAATGTTGACTGGCACGTACCCAATGTGTTTATGCGGCGAGGCAGTCGACCGAAGTCCTAGTCCAGCTTGCAACAGGGTGGGGTTAATGACATGGCCAGTCGCGCGTGAGTTGCGCGTGAGTCCCGCGTGGACATGGAACCTAGGCATGGTCAAGGTTACCAAAGAGAGTGAATGATCTGCCCAGTCGCGCGTTATTGCATATTATAATATATATACATAAATAAATACTTACATACCTACATATATACATACGTACATACGTAATACTTACATACGTACATACGTACAAACGTACATACGTTCATACATACATACGTACATACATACATACGTACATACATACATACGTACATACGTACATACATACATCCGTACATACGTACATACGTACGTGCGTACATAAGCTTTGTTGTTGAATAACTATTGATTATAATTTCAAACGAAGTATTTGTATTTACATTATAAACTTAATAAACCCGGTTAAGTAGTATTGTGTTGCTTCTACATATCATAGATAGCAGAATAAAATAAAAGAGAATCCAAAAATCTATGTAAATATCTGTATAATATAAACCTTTATATATATATATATATATATATATATATATATATATATATATATATATATATATATATATATATATATATATATATATATATATATTTAGATGTAGATGTATATATATAAATATAACGCCGGTTGTAGTGTGTCTCCAAAGATTTACCGACTCCCGCGCGCAGCGCAGTGAGCTGATGGAATAATCGCCGCAATGCGGTGACCCTCATCCACGCGCAGCGCAGTAAACTGTGAGGATACCTACACCCGCGCGCAGGGCTGTTCGCTGAAGTAATATTCGCCCCAAAGTGGGGACCCGCACCCACAAGGGTATAAGCGTTTGTGTTTAGTTTAGTTCTGTTCCACAATTGGTACGGTTATGCAGCTTTTGGTTTTTTTATTTTCTAGTGTTTGCATTATTTTAAAAATTTGGTTCCTTTTTATTGTTTAATAAATTTGTATAACTCGTTAGTTTTTGTTTTGTTTTATTTTTGTTTACTTCAGACTAAGGTTAGGGTTTTACCAATCTGGAACATACCAGACCTGCACTGACCCTATAGTATAATATAAGCCTAGGGATTAGAATAGACACCTCCTGTCAGGGTTTACATTAAAAATACGGTTATATAAAAGTAATAAGAACAATTGTATCAGTTCTTCCAATTTTATTTTATCGTACTTTCTACAAGACATGAATTTTTATCATTTGATTCAAGACATTGCACTATAAGGACAGTCAACTAAAGCCTTACAGCAGATTGGGTAGTTTCCCTTTTCATACATGACATTACAGACTGCTGGATAAGGCCTGTAGTTGCACCTGTAAAATAAAGGGTGTGTTTTAAATAAGTAATAGTTATATCTACGTACTTGACAAAACCTTTCAATTTACATTTATTGTTAATTTTTTTTACGAAGAGGTTTTAGAATACATATTTTTATCAAAGCCTAATTACATTGTGCTTGGTGGATATAGATTTAGTGACGACCGCATGACATTCGACCCATGCGTGACCTGGGGTAGATGAGATGGGTAGGGGTGATTGGCCTGGCCCGTTGCCCAACGTGGTAATGAGTCAATGCAGTGGACCCTAGCCCTAGCACAGCTTGCAGCAGAAAGGGGCGAATGACCTAGTCAGTCCGCGTTAGTACCACATGAGAATGGGCATGGATATCGAACATAGACACGGTCAAGGTTACCACAAGAGGGTTGAATGACCCGGCTAGAGGCCCGTGAATGAACAACAGGCCGTTCAGAGTTAGATACGGACCGAACGGGACGCATCTGGTGAGCTGGTGGCGAATACATGATGTCTGTAGACTTATACTAGAATCATGACAGCGACAAGCCGCTGATGAAATAGGACATGTAAGGTGTATCTAGTCTAGAGTTCTGTATTAGAAAGTTAGGATAGGTGTTAGGAATTCTTTCATGTGCATCTTTGTGGCGATTTATATCAGAGATTGTAACGTTGTTGTGAAATTAAAATTTCAACATACCAACATTTGTTCGGGAATATTCGTAACTCTCTCTCTCTCTCTCTCTCTCTCTCTCTCTCTCTCTCTCTCTATATATATATATATATATATATATATATATATATATATATATATAAGAGATAAGAGGCCACATCTGTTTTGTAGAGATTCTAGCCTAGTTTACAACTTACGTGTAGCAGTTGTAGCCTCCCTGTACACATTCACATTTCTCACAGGGTGCTTTGTACCACACAGCCCCAACTTTGGCTCCGTTAGGACACGTTCCTGTAACATATCAGCACAAAGTCAAAACATCTGACTCAAATATCTACAAAAATAAAACAGCCCAATACGGTAGCATGGAATTAATGATGCTAAAAGTAAAATCTATCAATTTTTTTGCGCACCTTTGGTAAATATGACCCCGGCAGTTGTGAAACTGACACAAGCTAAAGAGACCAAAATGACGAGTTGGATTCCGTTCATCTTGATGTAAAAGTTTTGACAGCGTCTAGACCTTTAAAATGATGTACAGATTAGGCCTGGGTGGGTTGTGGTTATATAACTTTATATAACTACCAACGCGGCTGGAGATTTCAGAAGAGTGTTTTGTTTTTCTGAATTTTTGACTCATAATTATTCAACAATCGCTGAAGGATGCTTGGTCAAAGTTATTCATTAGAAACAGTGTCTTTTGTTAACTTAGTTGGCGTAGAAGAATGCGGGCTGGATGATTGTATAATTTCAAACACCAAATGTTAATTGTGGCTCTAAAGGTGGTATGTATACATATGTATGTTCCGCCTACCTATCATGTGTGCTATACATTAGACAGACAAAAGCCTAGATCATTTGAGCTAAACATCAGTCAAACAGAAGTCTGGATATTTGAGCTCGGCGTGGTCGAGTCGGTAAAGCTCATGGTTGCTAAACCGAAAAGCCTCGAGTTCGAACCCTCGGGCAGATGAGGCTCGTTAGCTGGGGACAGCCACTCTTCTAGTAGAGACAACTCCAAAATTAAACAACTGCTGCCTTGTAGTTTGTTCTTGGTTGGACAAAGGCTATGGAAGCAAATCCAAAAAGAAAAGCAGGCTGAAATCGGAGTCAATGGCCTCCATGGCGCAAAACCAGTTGACACGTAACGCTTAATTGTGTTGGAGGCGTGGTCGAGTCGGCAAAAAGCTCATGGTTGATAAATTCCCACAAAGTCTCGAGTTGAAACGCACTGGCAGATAAATCTCGATCCAACACTAATAATTAAGAACGAAGAAGAAGAAGAAGACTACACCTTTATACCGATCGCAAAGAAACTTTGGGAAATTGTTGAGAACACTTCTGAGGAGGTTTCTGCGGAAAATAATTAAAATTCGCAGGAGTGGCTTCCGACAGGGCGCAGTTCGGTTTTTCTTTACATACGTATATAAAAATTGAAGTCGATTGAGGCTTGGCACGGTTCATCCGATCGCCATGAATCTTTGGGGAGTTGATGAGAACACTCCAGGTGAGGTTTCTGCAAAAACAATCTCTTCTAATTTCGCAAGGGCATCGCCCCAGGAGGGTGCGATTTGTCCCTATATACGGTATATATATATATATATATATATATATATATATATATATATATATATATATATATATATATATATATATATATATATATATATATATATATTTGAGTGTGATGTGTGTGTGTGTGTGTCTTTTATGCATTACTACACCTCTCATCACATCGCCATGAAACTGTGGGAAGTTGTTGAGAATATTCCTGGGGAGGTTTCTGCGAAAAAAAAAAATTTCAAATTCGCAGGGGTGGCGCCCCGGCAGGGCGCGATTTGTTTTTTTCTATATACGGTATATAAAAAAAAAAGTCAATTTTGGGTTGGCATCGTTCATACGATAGCCATGAGACTTTGGGGAGTTCATTATACCACTCTAGGGAAGGGTTCTGTAAAAAAAAATAATTTTTAATTTCGCAAGGGCGGCGCCACGGGAGGGTCCGATTTTTCTCTATATACAGTATATAAAAATAATAAAAGTGAATTGCAGTGACACCGTTCATCCGATAGGCATGAAACTTTGGGGAGTTCATTATACCACTCTAGGGAAAGGTTCTGTAAAAAAATAATTTTTAATTTCGCAAGGGCGGCGCCACGGGGGGGGGGGGTCCGATTTTCCTCTATATACGGTATATAAAATATAAAATAATAAAAGTGAATTGCAGTGACACCGTTCATCCGATAGGCATGAAACTTTGGGGAGTTCATCATAAAACTCTAGGGAAGGATTCTGTAAAAAATCATTTTTTAATTTCGCAAGGGCGGCGCCACGGGAGGGTGCGATTTTTCTCTATACGGTATATTTTAAAAATAGTCGATTTTGGTGTGACACCGTTATCCGAAAGCCATGAGACTTTGGGGAGTTGATAAGGACAATTCAGGGAAGGGTTCTGTAAAAAAAATCCTTTTTTAAATTTGCAAGGGCGGCACCACGGGAGGCTCCATTTTTTCTCTATATACGGTTTATAAAAATAAAAGTCTTTTTCGGTTTCACATCGTTCATCCGTGTACCATGAAACCTTGGGGAGATGATTAAATCATTCAATGGTAGGGTTCTGCAACAAAATATTGTTTAATATTGCAAGGGCGGCGCCCCCAGGGGGGAGCGATTTTTTTTCTCTATACACGGTATATAACAAATAAAACTCGGATGCGGTTCATCCGAGTGCCATGAAACTTTAGGAAGTAGATGAGAATACTCCCGAGAATATTTCTGCGAAAAAGAAAACTAAAGTTTCTTATGGGCGGCGCCACATAGGGTACAACTTTCGTCAATACACGGTTTAGCGCCCAGAGTTTTAGAGCGACTATGTTGGCACTTGGCACCCGTTAATCGAGCGTCCTGCATAGCGAGTAAAGGGTACTACTATATTCAGCGGTAAAACTACAACAGTCTTCTAAAAATAACTTTGTAACGCGAGGAAATCCTTCTGTACAGTGTCGTCACCTTGCCAAAGATGAAAAAATAACTTTTTGAATATGAGGAGCCTACTGTAGAGTTTCGTCACTTTGCGAATGATGCAACAAGCATCTAGTATTAGACAATCCAGTCAGAAATTGAGATCGAGCATCTAATAATAGACCATTAGTAACGCTAGCATATTGCATCAGTCACACTGATGTTTAAAACATGTCAAATAATTTTTTACGTGTTAAAGAAAAAAAGCCTGTTCATTTGTGGCACTGCAGCGAATGATGAAATCTGCATCATTATTAACAGGATGCTATTTGGCACGATGGCGCCTATCACTTTTAAGGAGCCAGGGGTCGTACGCCGCGCCTATGCGGTAGTGTAATCGGGGGGGGGGGGGGGCTGAGAACGCCCCTGTACGTCTCTGACACATGGGCGGCCACTGAAGTGTGTTCTAACATATTATTTCGGTGAGTGATTAATGTACATTCAATGTTTTCATGCGGTAGTGTAGGTAAACCCGTGTCCCGATATTTATGATCCAAGCGCAGGCATTGTTTACATTTAAATAACTCACTTTTAGAAAAGACGGTCACGCGTCTTAGAACATATGATTGGTAACGCGTTGCTGAAATCCTTCTAATACATTTCGTCAAACTTACTTCTATCCCCGCGGCAACGCGCGGGGGACGGTTACGCTATACGGTATATAAAAATAATAAAAGTGAATTGCGGTGACACCGTTCACACGATCGCCATGAAACTTTGGGAAGATGTTGAGAATACTCCTGGGGAGGTTTCTGCGCTAAAAATATGTTCAAATTCGCAGGGGTGGCGCACCGGCAGTGCGCGATTTGCTTTTTCTCTATATTCGGTTTATAAAAATAAAAGTCTATTTCGGTTTCACACTGTTCATCCGTGTATTATGAAACTTTGGGGAGAAGATTAGATCACTCAATGGTAGGGTTTCTGCAAAATAATTTTTTTAATATTACAAGGGCGGTGCCCCCGGGGGAGCGATTTTTTTCTCTATACAAGGTATATAAAAAAAAAACTCGGATGCGGTTCATCGGAGTGCCTTAAAACTTCAAGGAGTTGATGAGAATACTCCCGAGAATATTTCTGCGAAAAAGAAAACTAAAGTTTCTTATGGGCGGCGCCATGTAGGGTACAATTTTCGTCAATACACGGTTTGGCGCCCAGAGTTTTAGAGCGACTATGTTGGCACTTGGCATCCGTTAATCGAGCGTCCTGCATAGCGAGTAAGGGGTACTACTATATTCAGCGGTAAAACTACAACAGTCTTCTAAAAATAACTTTGTAACGCAAGGAAATCCTTCTGTACAGTGTCGTCACCTTGCCAAAGATGAAAAAATAACTTTTTGAATATGAGGAGCCTACTGTAGAGTTTCGTCACTTTGCGAATGATGCAATAAGCATCTAGTATTAGACAATCCAGTCAGAAATTGAGATCGAGCATCTAATAATAGACCATTAGTAACGCTAGCATATTGCATCAGTCACACTGATGTTTAAAACATGTCAAATAATTTTTTACGTGTTAAAGAAAAAAAGCCTGTTCATTTGTGGCACTGTAGCGAATGATGAAATCTGCATCATTATTAACAGGATGCTATTTGGCACGATGGCGCCTATCACTTTTAAGGAGCCAGGGGTCGTACGCCGCGCCTATGCGGTAGTGTAATCGGGGGGGGGGGGGGGCTGAGAACGCCCCTGTACGTCTCTGACACATGGGCGGCCACTGAAGTGTGTTCTAACATATTATTTCGGTGAGTGATTAATGTACATTCAATGTTTTCATGCGGTAGTGTAGGTAAACCCGTGTCCCGATATTTATGATCCAAGCGCAGGCATTGTTTACATTTAAATAACTCACTTTTAGAAAAGACGGTCACGCGTCTTAGAACATATGATTGGTAACGCGTTGCTGAAATCCTTCTAATACATTTCGTCAAACTTACTTCTATCCCCGCGGCAACGCGCGGGGGACGGTTACGCTATACGGTATATAAAAATAATAAAAGTGAATTGCGGTGACACCGTTCACACGATCGCCATGAAACTTTGGGAAGATGTTGAGAATACTCCTGGGGAGGTTTCTGCGCTAAAAATATTTTCAAATTCGCAGGGGTGGCGCACCGGCAGTGCGCGATTTGCTTTTTCTCTATATACGGTTTATAAAAATAAAAGTCTATTTCGGTTTCACACTGTTCATCCGTGTATTATGAAACTTTGGGGAGAAGATTAGATCACTCAATGGTAGGGTTTCTGCAAAATAATTTTTTTTAATATTACAAGGGCGGTGCCCCCGGGGGAGCGATTTTTTTCTCTATACAAGGTATATAAAAAAAAAACTCGGATGCGGTTCATCGGAGTGCCTTAAAACTTCAAGGAGTTGATGAGAATACTCCCGAGAATATTTCTGCGAAAAAGAAAACTAAAGTTTCTTATGGGCGGCGCCATGTAGGGTACAATTTTCGTCAATACACGGTTTGGCGCACAGAGTTTTAGAGCGACTATGTTGGCACTTGGCATCCGTTAATCGAGCGTCCTGCATAGCGAGTAAGGGGTACTACTATATTCAGCGGTAAAACTACAACAGGCTTCTGAAAAATAACTTTGTAACGCGAGGAAATCCTGTAAAGTTTCGTCATCTTGCGAAAGATGAAAAAATAACATTTTGAATATGATGAGCCTACTGTAGAGTTTCGTCACCTTGCGATGATGCAATAAGCATCTATTATTAGACGATCCAGTAAGAAATTGAGATCGAGCATCTAATAATAGACCATTAGTAACGCTAGCATATTGCATCAGTCACACTGATGTTTAAAACACGTCTAATAATTTTTTACGTGTTAAAGAAAAAAATTCTGGTCATTTGGGTCACTTTGGCGAATGACGAAAACTGCATCATTATTAACAGGATGCTATTGGCACGCTGGGTTATCCTATGAGCACGATGGCGCCTGTTAGTTTTAAGGAGCTAGGAGCCGTACGCTGCGCCTATGCGGTAGTGTAATCGGGGGGTGGGGGGCTCCTGAGAGCGCCCCTCTACGTCCCTGACACATGGGTGGTCACCGAAGTGTGTTCTACCTCATTATTTCGGTGAGTGATTAATGTACACTCAAGGTTTTCATGCGGTAGTGTAGGAAAACCCCTGTCCCGATAATTATTATCCAAGCGCCAGCATTGTTTACATTTAAATAACACAGTTTTAGAAAAGAAGGACACGCGTTTAAGAACATATGATTGGTAATTCATTGGTGATATCCTTCTAATATATTTCGTCAGACTTTCTTCTATCCCCGCGGCAACGCGCGGGGGTCGGGTACGCTAGTATATATATATATATATATATATATATATATATATATATATATATATATATATATATATATATATATATATATATATATATATATATATATATATATTAAAGTCGGATGCGCTTCGAAACCGTTCAAAACTTTGGGGAGTAGTTAACAATACTCCTGAGAGAGCTTCTGCGAAAATAAATTAAAATTTCTCATGAGCGGCGCCCGGGAGGGTTTGGCGCTCAGAGTTCCAAAGCGGCTATCTTAGCACTTGATATTAATTAATCGGGCGTCCTGCATAGCGGGTAAAGGGTACTAATATATTGAGTTAAAACTTCAACAGTCGCAGCCGCCTGTTTTTTTACAGTGCGATAGACTATGCATAAGATGGGATTTTAGAATCGTTCACTAAACATAATTATTCCCGTCTATCGGCATACCGACAGGCGCGATTTGGCGACCTGTGCTATCCGGTGAGCACTATGGCGTCTCCGTTAGTGATAAGGAGCACCCTACAATATTGGCACGGTGGCACACGACATTCGACGATTAAACCAGGGGCCGTAAGAGGTGCCGCAACGGTAGTGTAATCGGGGGCTCACAAGAGAGCTTGAGTGGGGGATAATCGTCCTTCACGAGCTACTGATAGTGTTTTAAAGCAAATATTTTCAGCCGAAGCATTAGTAGTGTCGAATTCACAAATTATGAATTACTGGATTGTTGAAAATAAAAAACTACTAAATAGCGGCGTAAGCTACGTCGCGGGTCGGCTCGTATGTGAAATTTCGTTTATCTCTCTGAAACAGTACTCAAGTTATAGGCTTTTGAAAAACTAAAAGTAGAATAAGTTCCACTTCCGGCTATCGGAAATCGCTGAAAAGTTGATACAGAACTACACAATTGATATAATACTTACATATTAAATGTGATCTTACCTATCTGTAACTGTACTCAAGTTATCGATACACACACAGACATACGGGCGAAATTGCAAAGCCCGGTTTTTCCGACTTGATTACGCATAAAAAGCCGAAATTTCGATAAAACTGGATTGTAATGTTTATCGAATTACAGTAAGTCCCCAAAACTCCGCATATTATAAGGTACTGAGGTGTAAAACGGTGAAAACTTTCAGAATTTCATGTGATTTTTTTTGCAAGATTACAATACTCCCTGTATACAGTGTATACGAGAAATTAACGCAAAAGTTTTGGGAAGCTCACTCCCTCTTTATTTGCTAGCCATATCGAAAACTTTGCACACATATTCCATCCTATATAATAAATTTGAATAAAAATATAAAAGTAATAAAAACAATAGTAAGAGTTCTTCCAATTTGCTATATTTTCCTTTCTACAAGACAAGCATCTTAATTGATTTAAGGCTTTGCACTCATGGGACAGTCGACTAAAGCCTTACAACAGCTTGGGTAGCTTACCTTTTCATACTCGACATTACAAGCAGCTGGATATTTCCTGTAGGTGCAGCTGTAAAATATTGAACAGATTATAGTCGCTTTATTGTTTTCTTGGAAACTGTATATATATATATATATATATATATATATATATATATATATATATATATATATCAAATAGGTACAAAGGATATATAAATATAGAGGCTTTGCGAACAGTTACCAAGTTTGCAACTTACGTGGAGCAGTTGTATCCTCCCTGGACACATTCACATTTCTCACAGTTCGGACGGTTCCAGGTAAAGCCCACTTTGGCCCCCACTAGGACACGCCCCTGTCATTATATCACAAAGTTATAGCATCGGGGTCAATATCTACACTTAAAATACTTTTTTAAATGTACAATTATTATCCTTCGACTGCTATGCAGTTACTGGTATTAATGAGGCTAAAACCATAGTTGATAAATGTGATCAAACGTTTAGCGTACCTTAAGTAAATATGACGCCGGCAGCTGTGAAACTGACACAAGCTAAAGAGACGAGAACGACGAGTTGGATCGTGTTCATGTTGATGTAAGTTTAGGAAAGCAACTTGTTGGCATACGGTAAGTTATAGCCCCGGGATATAAAAATAACTTTTTCTTTTGTTCAATTTTTGACCCATCGATAAAATGAACATGGTAAAATTTATTCATTAGAACCAGTATGTCTTTTGTTAACTTAATTTCTGTGGACATGTGCGGGCTAGACGATTGTGTAATTTCAAACACCAAGTGTTAATTGAGGTGCTAAATATGTTGCATATACACATGTATGTTCCGCCTACATAATATTTGTGATAAACATTATTCAGACACAATCCTAGATCATGTGAGCTATACATTAGTCAAACAAGAGGCTAGGACATGAGAGCTATACATTAAACAGACTACAGACAAGATAATTTTGGTTTTACATTAGTTAGACAAAAGCTTAGAACGTTTGAGCAATAAATAAGATATATATATATATATATATATATATATATATATATATATATATATATATATATATATATATATATATATATATATATATATATGTACACAGTTTAAGTTAAGCGTATGGACATATAAAAATAAAAACATATGCTCACACATCTCTCACACCTGGTAATACAAAATCGATTCTGCTACCAAACAAAGGTAAAAGAAAGATATTAATTACAAATGGTTATTCATTAGGACCACTATGTCGTTGGTAGATAATAATCTTCTCACACTGTTGTGGCGGTTGACTGAGTAATACATTTTTTAAACTTATAGTTGCTTTTTTTGGACTTACATATGCCAGACTGGTAGAAATATATGGCAATTCCTCCCTCACCATTACTAAGTTATTTACAAAGCTAGAAACACGTTATAATATACATCACAGAGTTTTCAGAGAGCCCATGGGCTGTACATTTATATTTTGGGACCTGGTTGCGATGGTTATATAGTTTTAGTATATCTTTGGCGGAGGGGTTGACACCATGGGTTACAGCACAGTGATTGTCCGAGCTAGTGACGCAACAAAGTTGTGTGCTAGACCATTTCACAAGTTCGACTCGTCCAATCCACGTTAGCCATACTAAGCTTAGTTACCCCCCCTTTCCGTGCGGGAGTATACGATGAAGAACAAAACAAGTAGATTAGTGGAGACTTGTGTTAGGATTGTACATTTCGTGCTATAGGATAATAGGTTGTTCGAACCAAGTGAGAGAAAGAGATGGATAGATAAATAGATAGTGACAGAGAGAGAAATTAAGGGAAAAATGTAAACAATTATTTATCCTTACCAAAGATTTATAGAAGAATACGAGTGACAAGGTGTATTCAGTGTAAAAGTCGTCGCAAGGCAAATGCCACACATTCAATATTTAACACTAAGCTTAACTCCACTGTAACAACGCCACTGTTTCGCTATGAGTTCTCTACAATTGTCATCTTTCCATATTTAATAAAAAAAAAAAAAAACAACAACAAATCTCTGCCTGAGCTGTTCAACACCAGTATACACACATGTGGGTAAATTAAAATATAATAAACAGATGATCGGATTAACCAACCGATTTTAAGCAACTCGATCATACAGGTTGATAAAAAAAACCATACGGGCTTTTGTTTTGTTTCAACGATTTTGTTAAAGACTAAAATATATTGTTTTTTTTTATACATATTTTTTTTACCTATTTTGTTTATAGCTTAACTTAACCGATAGACCGATAAGTCATTATCAACAATGGGACTAGTGATATAAACAGAACTCACAGCGTGAAACTGACGTGTAAAACAGATAGAAAAAAAGGAATAAATATTCAAGCGATTATTAAACAGTACTGCACAATTTATCAGTACAGCTTGCGACATAATTGTTTAATGTTTACCTACACTGTCTATTTCAAACACTAATTGATGCGTGTAGTTAAAGTTTATTTTTTTGGTGATAAATACCAGTACGATAAAAACATGACTAAAATAGCTACAATTTAAAATTAAATAATCAAATCGATAGTGATTTTACAAGCGAATGAAATTTAAATGAGATATAACAATTGAAAATGAACAATATGAATAAAACATGTGATTTGTGTACAAATTTATTTTTTTGTGCTACAAGCCATATAGATTTAAATATTTATGCTTTTCTAGGACAGTCGACTACTGTCATACTGCAGGTTGGGTAGTTTCCCTTTTGGTAGTTGACTGTAAAGTTTCTTGGAAATTTGCTGTAGTTGCAGCTGTAAATATACACAAGGGTAAAATTAGTTTCTTAAATAATTTTTTAAAATCTTCGGGTTAACGTAATATGCACACACCAAAATACATACATTTTAATAAATAAAACCTCACGATAAGAAATCAAAGAATTAAGCAGTATAAACCATTGCTTTTATGTCTGTAATAAAAAAAAATGTTGGGTAGGTTTTTCATCTCTTTAAAAATAATGTTGACAGGGTATATTATACAGTGGACTACCATGCCGCCAGGGCAACTCGTTTAAAGAGCCTAACATACGAAAACAAGGTAATTAAAAAGTCTAGTGACAATTTTAGCGCAATGTCCTTATGTTATCTAAAAATAGCTCTGTCGTAGCGTAAATCAAGAGCAGGGTTAGTAAAACCATTGGTTAGTTATTAAAACGTTTTTTCTTAATTTTTTTTTTCAGTATTTTACATGTTTTATTTACAATAGAGTTACATGACTAAAAACCATTGCGCGCCTGGCTACCGAACTTGATGTCGCTGCCATTGAACGTGATGGCGCAGCTATTGAACGTGATGACGCGTGTGATGTGGTTGGATAAAAATGCCTACTAATTCGGTCCAAATTTTAATTAATTAAAAAAAAATTTGTGACCGAACGAAAGAATATTTTTGAAAATTTTCTTCGGCAATATTGTTCTAAATTATAGCAGGAATCGATTGGTACATGTTTCAAGTCGCTAAGTGGTCTGGTTGCCGAGATATGGGCCAAAAACTGCATTTTTCGAGTTTTTGGCTTTTCCGGGAAATCCGTGAAAGAAACTCGGAATTTTTTTGGCCTATGTTCATCCTCGTAACTTGCTTAACATAATTGCTTTTGGAACTAGTCATCGATATTGCTTCGTTGAGGAGGTGATACGACTTAAAATGCGGACACACATCCATTCATTCATACATTCAGAAATGACGGGTTAATAAACGCAATTCTCCAGAATAGAAATTGCGCTAAAAAAAGATTATTTTCTTGCATCGTGATGGACAAGTGCTCTTGTAAAAACTGTAACTAACTCACTGTTGCGAAAAAAAGCAAGTAGAAACTAAATGAGTTGTATTGTAAAGATAGGCAGTAGCGTAGCGAGGGGGGGGGGGGGGCGGGGACATTTGGGGCGCCAAAATGGGTTGGAAAAACAAATTGAAAGTTTAAGGGGGAGGGGTTCAAATCGAAAATTTGAGGGGGGTGGGGTGCAAATCGAAAGCTTGAGGGGGGATGCAAATCGAAATCTTGAGGGGGGGGGGTGCAAATCGAAAAGTTTGTCCCCGGGCGCCGGGAAGGGTCGCTACGCCTCTGAAGATAGGTAAACATTCAAACCATTTCTGTTACTTATTGCACTTCTTTAAAACAAGTAATTAAAAAAAGTCTAGTGACAATTATAGCGCAATTTCCTTATGTTATCTAAAAATAGCTCTGTCGTAGCGTAAATCAAGAGCAGGGTTAGTAAAACCATTGGTTAGTTATTAAAACGTTTTTTATTAAAAGAAAATTTCAGTATTTTACATGTTTTATTTACAATAGAGTTACATGACTAAAAACCATTGCGCGCCTAGCTACTGAACGTGATGACGAAGCCATAGAACGTGATGGTGCAGCTATTGAACGTGATGACGCGTGTGGTGTGGTTGGAAAAAATGCCTACTAATTCGGTCCAAATTTTAATTAATTCAAAAAAAATTTTGTGACCGAATGAAAGGATATTTTTGAAAACTTTCTTCGACAATATTGTTCTAAATTATAGACGGAATCGATTGGTACATGTTTCAAGTCGCTAAGTGGTCTGGTTGCCGAGATATGGGCCAAAAACTGCTTTTTTTCGAGGTTTTTTGGCTTTTCCAGGAAATCCATGAAAGAAACCCGGAATTTTTATAGCCTATGTTCATCCTCGTAACTTGCTTAACATAATTGCTTTTGGAACTAGTCATCGGTATTGCTTCGTTGAGGAGGAGATACGACTTAAAGCTGCGGACACACATCCATCCATCCATCCATCCATTCATACATTCATACATTCATACATCCAGAAATGACGGGTTAATAAACGCAATTCACCAGAATGGAAATTGCGCTAAAAATTATAAAGGAATAAATCTATCTATCTATCTATCTATCTATCTATATATATAAAAAGCAATGTATGTCTGTGTGTCTGTCTGTGTGTGTGTTTGTCCTTTATGCATTACTACACCTCTCATCACATCGCCGTGAAACTTTGGGAAGTTGTTGAGAATATTCCTGGGGAGGTTTCTGCGAAAAAAAAATTTTCAAATTCGCAGGGGTGGCGCCCCGGTAGGGCGCGATTTCTTTTTCTCTATATACGGTATATAAAATAAAAAGTTGATTTTGGTTTGACATCATTCATCTGCTAGCCATGAGACTTTGGGGAGTTCATAATAACACTCTAAGGAAGGGTTCTGTAAAAAAAATAATTTTTAATTTCGCAAGGGCGGCGCCACGGGAGGGTGCGATTTTCCTCTATATATGGTATATAAAAATAATAAAAGTTAATTGCAGTGACACCGTTCATCCGATAGGCATGAAACTTTGGGAAGTTGTTGAGAATATTCCTGAGGAGGTTTCTGCGAAAAGAAAATTTCAAATTCGCCAGGGTGGCGCCCCGGCAGGGTGCAATTTGTTTTTTCTCTATATACGGTATATAAAAATAAAAGTTGATTTTGGTTTGACATCGTTCATCCAATAGTCATGAGACTTTGGGGAGTTCATTATAAAACTCTAGGGAAGGGTTCTGTAAAAAAAACATTTTTAATTTCGCAAGGGCGGCGCCA